AGTATGCGCAACATCTGCCCAACCATCGTAGACTGTTTAAGATAACCGCTTTTTCCAAAGACTGACCACTCGTTTCCTAAGCCTCGCGCCAGACCTCTGCCCTACTGATAAGCTGTTCCCACCATATCCTACCAATAATAAGAAAACATCGATGCTCAAACGCCGCCAGTCTAATCGCATCTTTTACGCTTACAGTTCATGTTTATGAGCTGCATAAATGATAAGTCTAACTGCAGGAGCGTTGACAGCCAACGGGATTTCACACCAACGCCACAGATGGTTTAGATTGGTGAAAGGTAAACGTGCCTTCTGAATGCATCGGGCGGGATACAACTCATCATCATCATCGTAAACCGTTAAACGGCAGAACAAGCCCCCCTGACCACTACCTTTCTCAACATGCTGCATGTAGAAGTAAAAAGAATGAATATACAAGATGGACAGGAAGTGGACTTACAAGGGTAGGAAAAGGAAAGAACGCCCCAGTAGACAACACACGGAATACACAGTCTAACTGTACAAACACACATCGATCAATCATTCTAATATGATAGAAAGTGGCAACACGATCACCACTGTTCACGGTTCAATTCCATATCCTTCAGTGTCTCCAGCCAACTGGTTGAGGGATCTTTTGGAATCCAACCACGAAGACGTGAGGCACCTACTTTTCCCAAGTTCAGTGTACATTTTCTCATTCCTTCTTGTCACTTCATCTGTTTACCTCCACGTGGTCTCTTCCACTCCCTAGGAGGAAGGGAGAATAGGGCATGGTCTGGTAGACATGTGTTTGTCATTTGTAACATGTGTCCCAACTAACGAAGTCTACGCTGTGATACGCTGTGATAAAACGCTCTCGGAATCAGTACCCTATACTTGATTTCTGAACTCATTGTCCAACCGGCTATTCCACCCAATCTTAGCAATACTACGCAAGCATCGTTGGTCGAAAACCTGAAGACAACGAATGTCTTCCACACACGGACCCCAAGTCTCGCAACCCTACAATAAAACTGAACGCACCACGGCACAGTACACACGACCTTTAAAGTTCAGTGAAATATCAGGTCGCAGCCACAAGTGCTTCAATCCAACGTACACCACTCGAGCCTTAGATATGCGCCTGCCCACCTCTACTATCGTACTCCCATCCGTCGTCACGCTCCTGCCGAGGTAACTGAAGTGGTAAACAACTGCTAGCACCTTCCCATTGAGCATCAAGCTCGGAATCGTTGACGTCCAGTCTTGCAACATCACTTTACACTATGAAGGTGCAAAGCGCACGATGAATGGGGCTACATCTTTTGCGAGTTTGTCTAGTGCACGTTGAGCATGTTCCGTGGATCTGAACAAGCAGACAAGATCTTCCGCGTAATCTGAGTCACATAGCTCCCCACGATATTCTAGTTCGACGCATACATTCTGAGGATTCTGCAATGTAATCTTCATTATTTCGACCATGAAGAAGTTGAACAGGAATGGAGACATGGGACATCCTTGTCGAACACATTTGGTCGTTTCGAATGAACTGGATAGTTCATTGTAAACCCTTACGCAGGCAGAAGTATGAAAGTACAATGATCTCAGTAGATTCATGAACTTCTGGGGCATACCATTTTGGTGAACAGCACTGAAAAGCGCTGTTCAATCAACTGATTCGAATGAGCCTTTCAGGTTTAAGAAAACCATTATTATCGGTCAGCGGTGCTTATGATGCGTTTCAAGTAGTTGGCGAAGAGTAAAAATCTGGTCGATGCATCCCCGAACTGAGCGGAATCCTGCCTCTTATTCGCCCACCTTCCTCTCGCAAACGGTGCAGCCAAATCGAGGCTAATGCTGTGGTGACTGTCGGAATTAACCTAATCCCACCACCATTACTAGTCATTGCGTATTCCCTTCTTGAAGATGGGAGAAAACAATGGCTCGCTCCATATTAACAGAATACGCTCCTCTATCCAAATGTCACGGAGCAAAATGGTAAGTGATTTTATCAAAGCATTTCCACCCATTGTGAACAGAACTGAAGGAGGTTCGTCGGGACCGGCCGCTATCCCTCGCCTTAGTAATCGAATACATGACTCCATTTCCACTTCCAATGGGGACTCAAGTGATACCACCCAAGGAATCGCAGCTGCTCACACTGGAGTAACTACATTAGCGCGCGGTAAACTAAACTGCTCCTTGTAATATTCGGCCCAACCGTCCAGCCTTTGCTCTTTGCCATGAATGGGTTCTCCATTTCTATCGTGAATCGTTTCACTGACCGGGGTTGGCCGTCCATCGGTGTCGCGAATAAGTTTGAACAGTCTTTGACTGTTACCCGAAGCAGCGCCTACTTACATTTCTTAGACTACCTTCACCCACCAATTTTCGCGATCCTTCCTAAGGCTTTTCGTAACTTGCTTCTGTAGATTTCTTCGTATCTTATTCATATCTATGCAGTTCGAGAGTTACCATTTTTGCTCCATTACACTCAACGAATTTGGCGAAATCCAGTGTCTTTTATGAACATCGGATCTAGGATCACAGGCGAAACCTGCTGCAACGTGCAGTGCTTTTTTGAAATGGGCCCAATGCTACCCTACATTACTGCTCACCGTAAATCGTGACTCATGTGCTAACTTCTGTTCATAATAGCTGCGTACTTCTGGATCACACATACGTTGCACGGCTAACCGGGTTTGCGGTTTGCGGTTTGCGACGATGACCATGGAGCTGGAGAGATAATCGAATTAGACCTAATGCATGGTTCCACTCTATGTATGTGGACCAGTAAGATCTACAGTTCTGAACAGAACTGCGCGATATGATCGATCCAGCTAAGAATACCTTTAGAGTTGGAGCGCCATGTCGCCGTGTGACGCGAGCTGTGTCGGAAATTGGTACTAGACAAGAATAACCGATTGGTTGCAAAAAACTGTACACTCAGCAGGTAAAGCACAGTGGCCACCTAAACAAGTTTCTGATGCGCTAAATTTGCCAAATTGTGCATTGAAGTCACCAGCTTTCACTTCAGTATCAGAATCTTTACTGCTGCGAACGACAGTGGCGAGTTCATCGTAAAACTCTTACTTCTTTATGTCAAAGCTGCAGTGTGTTGAGACGTATGCTGAGATAGCAAACAAGTTGCGCTTAGCACGGCTATCCTTTCGAACATCAACTGACCCATGGAGTTTCACAGCACATAAACGACTGTTAACAGGGATCCAGTGTAAAAAGGCAGCCTCAGCCTTCTCAGTCGAGATTATTCCCACACCACATTGACCCACAGCCCTAACTGTTTCGCCTTTTCTGATTTGCGCGGGAAATATCTCGAAGAGATACCAAGAGCAGTTAGTTGAATCACATTGCTTGAATCCTGGATAAGCATTTCACGTACGCAGCATACATCAGTCATCAGAGAAGCTATTGTGAGCGTAAGGCACACCTGCTGACCGGCCTGCAAGAGTGTACGCACGTTGAAGGAGCCGAAGTTCAGAGGCTGACGAGGCTTGAGAAGATGTGAGCTACAACACCGGTGATTGCTCACGGCACTATTTGACAGTGAATCGTTGCGAGTATTTACCGTGTTGTCAGCGGGATTATTATAGGTGGATAGAAGGGGCAAAGAGAGGTGGTTGGGAGCAGAAGACAAAAGTTGATTAAAAGAGAAGGAACTCTGAGCAGTATCCCACTTATCACCACCCACCCCGCTCGATGCAATGGACAGCATGGTCCTGATTATCCTGCACGTCAACCGATGCAGTATGGAATTCTTTCTATTCGTGCAGTTCATGGGAGATGTTGGAAGGGTACTGCTAGGGTGTCCAGCCACAAAGCAGGAGAACTATTAGGGTCCTCATCCAAAGCCTTTAGTTCTAACGAGAACCTATCCACAAGGCAGCGAGATGGGTTAGCGGATCCCATTTGCTTGGATCAATTATTCTCCCACTGATTTTACCGATTGAGTTGCCAGCTCAAATCGACCTCCGACCCGGAGGACCAGGAGACTGGACATTTTCTGGCTTTCACTCATTGACCTGTCAGGCATGATTGCATCTCCGGCTTGAAGAAGCCATCCTATATAACTCTTTGGGTCATAGAGGTGCGCGAGCCATCACACCACGTCAAGGTGCAGTCTCGTCGTGATTGTGGGATACAGCTGCTCAATGAGGAAAAAATTGTTTTCTTCAGCTAAGGGTTCTCCTGTCAAACCAGGGTATGGTATAGCGCCAATTCATTACTGGGGCAGAATTCACAACTTCGAAGGTGCATACCACATGCGAAAATGTGTACAATATTGTTCATGCCACCTAGAAAAGCTTGCAACTTACCTGGATCATCGCTGGTGAGCCAGACATCGTCTGCTTATTCTAAGTCAGACAGGTACTTGCATGGCCACAGAGCTATGGAGCTATTCTCACACGAGGATAGAGCTACCTCAAGAACCATTTAAATTACGAAGTCATTAAGGATGGGAGTTGGAAGACAACCCTAAAAAACATCGATTCTCATGATGAGGTTAGGTGAAAGACTGTCGTAAGCACGAAATCGACTGCGGTTGGTTGCATACAAACCCGCATCTGTCGATCAACTAGGGCGAAATACAAAACCTCGCTGTGTTTCAGACTGCTATTACGTCTATCGTACTGGGGTTGTATGCGGTGTTCCACTTCAAGCCTCAGGGATCATAGTTATCGGTTTTGCCTAATAGTACACGGGATGGGCATCTGGGTGAGGATAAAGATCATTCAATACACTGTTGCCTACGTTTGAAACTAAAGAAAGCAATGATAAGGAGTCATAAGAGCCACCACTGGTTCGTGGAATGCAAACCTTCGTTACAACAGCAGTGGTCAAATCCACTTTGGTTTCACATTTTCTGATTTCGTAAGGCTAATATATATTAATTGTGAACAAAACACAACAGCAGGGAGCGTACATCTATAAGTCAACGGAAAGCACACAAGCACAAACACATTCAGTAAGTTGCAAAGGGTTAGTAAACGGACATAACGTACCGGTATCAGGGACATCCGATGGTCTAATAATTTGTCGGATCTGATCGAGATTTTGTAGGTCTGGAGATAATCCTGCGAAAATTGATCGAGCGAAGTCATAAAAAGGGGTCATTTAGGACAATGTAAGTTCATTTTGGGGAACAAAAGTTTAAAATTACAACCAACCAACACTATGCTAATGATTGCACTCACAGAGCTGTGCGTCGAAAGATCCTTTGGAACAAATTTGAAATCGTCAGTCCAATCATGATATGGGAAAATAGATCACGGGATATGTACCGATCAAAATAAAGCAATTCAATCACACCTGACAGTTTATCTTATGGTAAAAAAGTATACGGAGGCGATGTGTGTAAACATATGTACCACTTCAAAGATAAGCATTGTATCCACATCGCCACATGAAAACAAAGGACTGGAATCTGAATTACATTCACCAGTGTATCTAACCATCGACAATCTTTATTCTTGGGGCCCTAACCAGCAAGCTGGTATGCAAATATTTTCCATTACCTTCGCTGTATTTTTTGGTCTCTGATCGGTCCATTTACGCATTCTCAAAAGGTCGCTCATGAACATTATGTAAGCAGCAAAGCTGAAACCTCATTTACCTTGTATCATTCGGACATCAATATATATGCGTTCGTGCTCGCTTTAGCATGCTATCTCAAGCTAGCGAGCGGGCTAGCATGGTCGAATTACGTGCTCTGTTCCCGAGATCTTAACGCGATCATTCTGTAGTACGAATATGGGTCCAGGAAGTCTAATCAAGCGTTATTAGGTGCCAGGACGCAAGTGCTGTGCACCTCTAGCATCGGGTGTTATTGTGTCTTGTAGCCCGTGTTTCTCCTGTGGCAAATCAATGCCAAGTTCAGTTTGTATTTAGTCAGTATCGTTGAATGGAGACTTCAGTGTATTACTTGTGTGATATTTAGAGACACAACACATCTTCAGCGCGGCGCGGTCACGTTTTCGACCACGACAAGACTGCGCACTACAGAGCTGTGCAAACGCCCCTCCCAATAAAATCTGAGTGCCTAACGTGTTCGTTCAAATATCAGTCCCCTTCAACACTAACGAAATGTTAGGTGTAAGAAGGATTTCATTGCAACTACACCAGTTCCAACAAAAAATATGCTTCCCAACTGCCCAGTTTGTTTTGGTATTTCCATAATATTTACCATGCCAAAATGATTCTACTGAGAGGGCAGAAAGCAGACCCCAAGGCGCAAGTCAAAATTAAGAAATTGTGTTGAGTCTTCTCCATACAGCACACAGCCAGGACAATTTGTTACAGAACAGAAAAATAGCCTAGTACCCTGAAATTATTCTCATTAACTGTGGAATGTGAGCATGCAGCTTTGCTAACACTGTACTGTTCTCAAGTAGAAACTAAACCATTGAGATATCACGTGCTCCAGTGGATACGAACGAAATGCAGGTAGGAATGTTATGCTGGGGGCGGTTTAGCCAATATCTATGCACGCAAACACCTAAACGCTTAGTAGAGGCTCGTTAGGTTTTCTAACCTGTTTCAATGGCTTTGATTATATGACTGATTGATTTCTAAGTGCATAGAAGCAAGCGAATATCTGGGCGGATTTTATTGATTACACTGCGGCAATCCAATATTGGCACCGAACTTTGGTCACTCGCTCACTCTTTGACTTTGATAGGCTGAACTCGCTTTGCCCATACTTGTCAGAAAAGAAATTCTTTCTCAGACTTCTGTGCGCTTTCACCAATTGTCGACACCGCATAAGTCCTGGAAGTCGACAACAAGCTTTCGTCGGAAGTAAACGCGGAACTATTTCGTGAGCAGGTTCTGCTATTCTACACGTGCTAAAAATGTGAACAATGGACACGTAAACGCGAAGTCGATTTGAGCACTTGCCATGCGGAATCTTTTTTTACCCATGACTTATCCAGACCGATGTGAGTTCATTCCCGAAGAAATCACGTCAACTACATCCAGCACCTCCAACGGGGTTCCTTGTAAGAGAGTAAACAGTGCATAAATGGGTAAACAAATTTTCTCAGAAGCAAATGACCGGTTTCAACGTAACTATCGTGCATCGAGTATGAGTACCCCATAGTCCCCCGTCCATTTCATCCTCATATTTGAACACTCCGTGATACAAAAATGAGATCCCAGAAGGAAAAATACTTGAGAACAGTCAGTGGACAGTGGAAAGTACCGGATTCGCAAGCTGATGAGCGGTAATAACCGTGAAACCGGTAGCGTGCTTCCGGAAAACTTTGTCTACTCTTTTCTATACCACACGCTACCAATATTTCAACTAGTGACTGCATTTTCGTCGTTCTGTGGTGAATCACGGTTGTGATCCCACGAGAAGCATTCACTCACACTCGGGATGCACAAACGAGATAAGTATGGCCACGGAAAAAGATCACCCAAATTTATGTCGCGAAAAGGAGTATTCAAACTACATTTCTGCTTTCGTAACGGCTACTAAATTTTCTACCATGGGCATCTGTTTTACTCAACAGCTGCTCCAAATTTGCTACAATTGCCAAATCTACGGAGACATATTTCAATGTGCGTGTGAACAAATGTTCAGTCACCGGCTGGCATTTATCCAATCGTCTTAATCTGGACCGAATGCGAGCAGAGAAACACGTGAATAAAAGAGAATTGCACAAACAATTTTAATCAGCCTGTTAAGCTGCTCACCCCCATGACAGCAAAATATCCGACCACCAACGATTGCTGCAACAGGGAGGCAATTGAAACAGTCCGTGAATGCCTTCCACAGTCTGACAGAGAACCGTCGTTTGCCTGGAACAAAAACGGAACTTATCACTGAATTGTTCCGGTATCAGATTTATGCTTGCAAACAAGACCCTATTCAATATACTCAACAGTTAATGACGGTAAAAATCGTCAATCCAAACGAACAAATAGGGGTTGGAATGTCCTAATCTTCCGGGTTTTTTTATATTGCACACAAAAACACCTTGTACGGTGGGAGTTTGACCGTAGACGTTCAGTTCAGCTCGAATAACAACTAAGATTAAATTAGCTACGTGAATAGTTTGGTCGTTTTCTCCGAATCGGACCCGAGTGTGAAATAATCACTCAAGACTGTAAAATGCATTGACAAGCGAAGGGCTTATCGGGGCCGGTAATTATCCACAACTTTTCGGCACATTAATCTTGTGGATATTATTCGGAAAACTTAACTTAGTCTGCATAGAAAAGTCCACTGTTCGATATTTGCGTACTTTTCTTCTATATCATGGGCTGATCATATGTAACCATCCTTCAACTAATACCCTCTTCAGAGATTACGCGATGAGGACTTCTATTCGGGAGTAGACGAGACACACACCAACCGGTGCAACGTGCTCAGATTTAGTATACCAGAAATTCTACGCCTCGTTTTTTCGCTCTCTATTTTCGGCACTTATCCATTGGGATTTTCTTAATTTCTTAAGTGTAATGATGTTCAAGATATCTCAATTACATCTGATCATGCGCTATTGCCGATTGCCTTGTTTACCATACTTTTGATTTCCGAGTTCCGGATGAGTTTTACTACAGGAAAGTTATTACTGAGGTGTGGGTTCTAGTGAATTTGAACATACTCACATTTTCAGCCTTTTTCCGGGTAAATTGCCTTCTTTAACCGCAAGAAAATGATCAGAAAATAAAATATTCCAACGAATGAATGGAAATTTCTGCGAGAAAATGTTATGCACAAGGCCCAATTGCAATGACCGCCGATAGTCGATCGAAAGAAAATTAACAACCGTACTAATAAACAAGTGAAATTCACCAAATAACAATTACTTGCAGCTTTTCGATCAACGAATAGTCGGCGGACGCCGAAAGTCAAGATAACTTATTGCTCATTAGTGATGAACGTAGACACTGAAACCCAATCTATGGGAGAGTTCATCCACCAACCTAAGCAAGTGATTCTCCTGGCCGATCAATAAAAACCAACCACGAAATATCCCTATCGATATCTCGCTCGAGGCATTCACAAATATAGCTTCATGAGAGAAGAGACAAATAGTCAGACAGCTTAGTTTATATTCTGTAAGCGCGACTGCATTATATCTTTGCGTGACAACCAAGCAATCGGACGAGCTCAACAAATCAAGGAAACGTGTGCACAATTACTAAAAAAGTACGTGTGAGAGAAAACAGGCATGCAATTGGATACAGAAATAAGAGAACACTACGTATCGGTGTAGCAAACCATTGAGCTGAGCTACAAACGCCACCAGCATCCAAAACGACACCTGGGGCATCAACGGATGATCAAAATCTTCCGACCTAACGGCATAGCTCAACAATCAGCGATTTTTGAGCCGCGGCAGCCATTGAGTCCTTGATGCGAACAGCTGCTACTAATTGTCCGTGTGGTTGTTAAATGACGTTTACAAACAAGCCGAAAACTGTTTATGTGACTTTAATCACCGCCTAAAGCCACTAATGGATAGACACAATTTCATTTGGTGTCAAGTGGATCAAAACAAGTTAGGGCCGGAAAGTCTTCAAAATATTGAGTTGTTGGATATGCATGATTGACTATTTCTAACAAAAATTGTACACCAACTGCTCGGTAAGCTGAACATCACCAGTTCGATTCCGGCTGGCGGTGTGGACCTTCGGGTGCGAAAACCAAGTGAATTTTCTATTATTTGTTAGAATGAAACCGTTGCTTTTCTCCGTGGTCGTGGATCGTCAGACGGTCATCATAGCGAATTACAGGGTTTGGAGTTCGCAGTTTGAATCTTATAGCTATTTGTCAGGATCCGTTTGCAATGACGTCTTATTCAGCATGTCCCTTATGCACAAACAGCAGTTAGTGGCAATCAATTCGGAGGAAACCGAATCCTTCATCATAAAAAATGGTAAACTATTTCATAATAAACTCGTATTGGTGTACGGTTTTTAACTACATACCTCTTACGCCACTTTGATTATCCCCGTTTTGTTTCACCGCGATTTTACAGCGCAACCACTACAACTTGACATGTTTGTCCATGTAGAACCACTCATACGCTGGTTGATATGTACGCCCTAACACAATATCAGAGAGATGTTTCACATTCCTCCGTGTTGGTTTTCTGCTCAAATGTTACGATTCGTTCGAAATACGAAACACGGTTGAAATCAATTTAGAATGCTGCAAGCTTTTGACATATGATGTACAACTCAGTGGGTAGTCTATACGGGGGTAATCTTTCTTTCCATCCATCATTCGTTCAGATGCAGTTCTGAGTCGCTTGTCTAACTGATTTCTAACTACCAATCACGTGAAAAGATCGACTGCACATCAATCATTATTGAGTGTATCTGTACACATTAAAAGAATTCGCGGCTATTCGTAATTCTGTATGTTTCAGTGCAAGTTATGTCTCAAAGCACATTTTTAGCAATTTGCTGGAATACCGTGATTAGTGAAACATTACAAGGAATTACCGTGTCAAAATTAATTCGGAAACTCCAAATGAATTACCACCATATTCACCACAAAATACGATAATGAAAGTCAATTTAAACTTATCGACGATTTTACGAGAACAGTCTGCGAAATTACAAGTGCAACTTTAAATAGCAGGGATCTTCCATGACCACCAAGTATAGCTACGGCATGCATTTTTCTTGTAATTCTCAGCTATTCGTGGCTGGCCACAAACCCTCTTTCTTAAGGCACGGTACGGTGTTCTGTGAGAAACAGAAAGTTGTAAATAAAAATTTTAATAAGATAGGCTAACCGTGATCTGGGACGCGTGACTCTCACTGATAGTTCGCTTTACCTATTTACGAAAACCAAATTCAGTCGAATTGATATAGAATACGGGGAATACGCTTATCAGTTTATTCACAAGTAGTCAATTCCGGCTAAATATATCATCGGATATAGTGGTACATGTTTGGTTCAATGCGGGTTATGAATGCAGTTACGAACGTTCATCATTGAGTAGCAATGGCCAAACGTTTAAATAAGTGAACACTAGTTGTTACAGGATCCACTTCGAATAGTGCGGCTGATTGTCATCATCAATCCGACAGCTTCTAATGGTCTGGGATATTTTACCAATATACTATGATAGATAGGAACTCAAATGAGCGTTATCATGGTAGTATAATTCTGTCAGGCATAAATCGCCACGCCCAACTTATTCCTGTATGTGACGATGCTTGCTGATATACTCACCGAGCTCCGGCTCATCGAGATTTCTCTTTGTATCTTTGCATATCGTACACGTGCATACTACTGTACATGCCTCCAAGAACGAACATTTCGTATCGTAATTTATACATTTATATACTGATACCAGTCCGTCCTGTTGTAATCAGAAGCAAAATAAAATAAAGACCGTTATCTAAGGAACTCGAAGCGAAGACAAAAATCTACAAATCAGCCTATATTCAATCAGCTGCATCTTTACTAGTGTTCGGTTCTGATTTCTTATTTTACAATAAAAAGAAAAACTTGAGCGGGCTACAAATAAAGTCACAGGGAGCAGTTTTCTTGATTTCTCCTGACCCCTTGTCTATACTACACCAGATCGATGTTGTCACCTTATCGTGTCATGGGCTATGCCTACCACGATGACCCCACAGGCTATGCCGATTGGAGCGTAAAGCATTCCTTTAGAATAGCCCGTGTTGGATGGATCAAAAACAAGTAGCCAGGGAGAAGCAATGTGGCCTTGTTAGACTGCGTAGCGTATTTTTGCCTGAGAGCGAACCCTCCACATAAAAACCACAATAGCCTTTTGACAGCAATGCGATATATATATATATATATATATATATATATATATATATATATATATATACCCGCTGCAAATCATGCATGGTACCAATGTAGCAACAACAATTATAAAAGTATAAGAGGGAGAGAAGTGGATAATAAAAAAAGTTGGTGAAAGATAAAATTCTGTGCATTTTTTTCTTTTTTCACAACGCATTTTCTGCTCTTTTGTCCTTTACCCGTTGGAATGAAATTTGTGTGATTACGGGGCACCATAGTTCAACTGGCAGACCGCACAATATTCGCACCACTGAATTTCATTCTGAAATATGTCCCTCAACGTCTCCAACCAACGACAATCCTCATCTCTTGGGCCCCAACCAGAAAGGCGGGAAGCTCCAACCGAAGCCAATGCTAATGCTAGCTTCTTCCTATCTCCACACTAATCCATGGCCTAACCACCGTGCACCACCACTTCTCTCAGCATTCCTCAACACGTGCGAATAGAGCACGGAAAGATGAACGATGAGCAAGCATTCGCAAAACATGACTGGGCCACCGGAGGCGATGTAGAGCGATCGCTTCGGCAAAAGGGCGGCTATGCGTGCCCAACACACGACGGCGCACCTCGTCATTATTCACTCCATGTTTTCACCAGACGTGAGTAATGCTTCGGAAACATCGGTTATCGAAGACAGACGTGAGCATCCTCAACGTGACGTGCTCAAATGTGTTCCGCTACTAAGTAAGGTCACTCTTTCTTGCCTCTTACTCAGCTGTCCTGAGTGGGGTAAGATTAACTAGGATGCGTTGGGCACCCTCGAGTGATAGACCACCATCCAAGAGGCGCTGGTTTGGTCAACAGCTCCTAATGTAAACTTCCTGTTGTTCGACAGGTAGCATTTGGTTGTGCAAGGACTAGAGTTGCTGCGTCGAATAAAAATCCTAGTGAAGTTAAAGACGCCACTTCATACCATATTCCCAAGACTCTTCACGAACAATTCCTCTGCACACACCACTCATAGGCAAGTGCTATTCATTACACCCATGAAGCCAACTCCTCCTCTCGCAAAAGCTAGCAGCGTAAAAGTACTACAACATCTGGTTCACAAACCCCACAAGGTGTGACTCATTTACTATGATTCGTTCAACTACTTTGTTGATGTGTTTCATCGGGTCTACTGAGCTTGCATTTAAATCTAGTGCCAAACACTAAAAACGGATTCACGTTGACATTATGTCACTTACCAGAAACTTGATATCAGTATTACGCACATCTCTTAGGCATGAAAAACTCGGCTCTGCTAGATCGGCTGACTAGAGAGCAGAACCGTACACACGTTCGTCACCGTTATGAGTTAATATTGAAAACATTTTACATAAGCTGTCAGGCTTACATTCATCAAAGAAACCGTAGATACGATTTACTGCAGCGCACTCGTGGTTGCCACGCAGCAAGAAGAATGATTCTGGATAGCGAATCTTGTAGGCTAACAGAAGACAAATAGTCTCCAAACTATTTTTTCCGCGGTCCACATAGTCACCCAGAAAGAGATAGTTGGAATGAGGAGGGAATCCACCCAATTCGAACAGCCGGAGGAGATCGGAAAACTGTCCGTGTATATCCCCTAGGGAAACATGCATGGGAATAGATGGAAAAACCATTCATGAGCAATAGATAAGAATTTAGGTAACAGTTTCACGTAAAGTTTGGGCACACATATATATGCATAAAAGTCAATTATTTTATAGTCAGCGACTTTCTAAGGTCAAGCTCAAACCACACAGCAAGCTCCATGTAAACACAAATACGTAGGGAGATATCAACTGCGCACTGACGATGTCATCTCGACTGCTGATGAAACAATTGCGAACTAAAAGCTAAACCCGTCCATCAGATGCTGAAAACCACCAACCAATGCTACAATCAACACCATCTTTCAAAACTACCGCTAACATGTGCACTTGTTTTCAACTTTGCCGTTAAATAAATCGCATACTAGAACCACTCATTCAATTTACTGACGGTAACGTTTCGTACTCACATGCCCACACTTAGACTATGCAACGTCATTCGGACGAACGGTTCGATCCTATACAAATCTGGGTTAACTGCATGCCAATATATCAGGATCTCCCACTTGGATTGCCAACGTCACCATCGTAGAGCGTTAAACGGCAAAACAAGCCCCACTGACCACTGCCTTTATCAACATAGTGCACATAGAAATAAGAAGAATGAATATACAAGATGGACAGGAAGTGGACTTACAGGGGTAGGAAAAGGAAAGAACGCCCCAGTAGCCAACACACGGAATACACAGTCTAACTGTACAAACACACATCGATCAATCATTCTGATTTGACAGAAAGTGACAACACGATCACCACTGTTCACGGTTCACTTCCATATCCTTCAGTGTCTCCAGCCAACTGGTTGAGGGATCTTTTGGACTTCAACCACGAAGACGTGAGGCACCTACTTTTCCAAAGATCAGTGTACATTTTCTCATTCCTTGTTGTCACGTCATCTGTTGGCCTCCACGTAGTTTTTTCCACTCCCTAAGAGAAAAGGAGAATAGAACAAGGTAGGGTAGCCGTGTGTCTGCCATACGAACTAAGATATCGTGGGGAGCTATGTGAATTAGATTACGCGGAGGATCTTGTCTGCTTGTTCAGATCCACGGAACACGCGCAACGTGCACTAGACAGACTCGCAAAAGATGTAGCCCCATTCATCGTGCGCTTTGCACCTTCATAGTGTAAAGTGATGTTGCAAGACTGGACGTCAACGATTCCGAGCTTGATGCTCGATGGGAAGGTGCTAGCAGTTGTTTACCACTTCAGTTACCTCGGCAGGAGCGTGACGACGGATGGGAGCACGATAGTAAAGGTGAGTACGCGTATATCCAAGGCTCGAGTGGTGTACGCTGGACTGAAGCACTTGTGGCTGCGACCTGATATTTCACTGAAGTTCTAAGGTCGTGTGTAATGTGTGGCGGCGCGCTTACTTTTGTTGAATATTTGCGAGACTTGGGGTTCGTGTGTGGAAAATATTCGTTGTGTTCAGGTTTTCGAGCACCGATGCTTGCGAAGTATCGCTGAGATTGGATGGAATAGCGGAGTGGACAATGATGAGGTCACAAATCGAGTATTGGGTACCACTTCATGGAGTTCTCTATCACAGCATATCAGCTTAGTAGACTTTGTTGGTTAGGGCACGCGTTACATATGGCAAACACACGGCTACCCTACCTCGTCCTATTCTCCTTTTCTCTTAGGGAGTGGAAAAAACTACGTGGAGGCCAACAGATGACGTGACAACAAGGAATGAGAAAATGTACACTGAACTTGGGAAAAGTAGGTGCCTCACGACTTCGTGGTTGGAGTCCAAAAGATCCCTCAACCAGTTGGCTGGAGACACTGAAGGATATGGAAGTGAACCGTGAACAGTGGTGATCGTGTTGTCACTTTCTGTCAAATCAGAATGATTGATCGATGTGTGTTTGTACAGTTAGACTGTGTATTCCGTGTGTTGGCTACTGGGGCGTTCTTTCCTTTTCCTACCCCTGTAAGTCCACTTCCCGTCCATCTTGTATATTCATTCTTCTTATTTCTATGTGCACTATGTTGATAAAGGCAGTGGTCAGTGGGGCTTGTTTTGCCGTTTAACGCTCTACGATGATGATGGTGTTCTATCTTACCAATCTTGTTTCAGTAGGTCCTGTTGATTGCGGTACTTTGATCGTAGCTGACATATTCGCCCATTCTTCCTTACGGATTCAGATATTATTCCCCTATGTAAACCACGACACTCCAAACGTGAGTCCCCTGTTACCATCTCACCACAAATAGTGCGTTTACCAGCTCGGTCACCCACCGATATAGGCGTTAGGCCAAAGGTCGGCTCACAGACTACTGCCTCATTAGTGTGAGTGAACGACCACGCGTACGGCCACGATTGAAAAGACAAGACTCTGATCTTAGTTAAGAATTGCAATCTACGAGGCTAACATGTCTAGTGAAGTGATTATTCCCGAGCTTTTTGATGTACCTCCGGAAGCATGCGGGTAAACCGGAGACGTACCTCAAAGCTGGTTCGGAGATCCACCACAGCATCCTGAGTCCAAAAGAAAGTTCAACTGTGACCAAGGGACATCGACCCGAATATGTATCACCACGCCGCCTATCCATCTTTCGCCGTTTCCATCAAAATGGTGAAGCCCATAAGTGGGAAGACCGCCTCCAAGTCCAGAAAATCTATGGTGAGCTAAGTTTGTGTTAATTCATCAAGCTTTAGCTGATGAAACAGCAACCGCGTTTCGAGCTCATCATGCATATCTAGCATTCCTCTGACGCTGAACGACACAATATATGGTTGTCTGCGTCTATTCTTCAATTCCAAAGGGTCGATTACTGCTTCCACGCTAGGGATATTGCCTGGATCGACAGCGTAAGTAAAGTCAATCTGCGTCGATGACATTCGAGAGGGTATGAGCTGACTCATGATCGATAATCGATCATGTCCCATCGGCAATTGACATGCTAGCGCCTGTTCCCAATCTAGGTTAGTGCTTGTGCCAGCGGATCCACAAGTGATAAGGTAGTGGGTCGATAAAACACGAACGGGTTCCCACCAAGTGTTAGCTGGTTGTGTCACCAACCAGTCAGTTGGAAGACAGGCTACTTGGTGCAAATGTAAACCAGATGGTTTGTGTTGCAACGAATGATGACAGTGATTGTTTCGTTCTTATATAACCAATGTGTGCTGTGCTAATAAAATGAGATGATTCGTGGACGGAAAAGACTTCTCACTGGAGTAAGTGGGACGGTTTGAAACATCTTCTGTTATCAAAAGTCCCGGATGCATAGATCGACTGCACCTTTGACCTGGCGTTCGGGTTCGACGCTTAGTGTCAATTTAGGTTTTCCCCCACCATCGGGTCTAGATTCTGAAGAATATACAGCGTCTCACTCTTCAGTTTATGAGACCGTGTTGGTATCCATTTATTTAAACCAACACCTCCCAGACCCAGGAGAGGATTACCACTGTCAACTACCTTCCCCAGCTAAAAGGCCGCTCTCACCTTTACTTTCGATGCTGCATTTTCCTCGTTAGGGAGAAAATCCTACCTAAGATATCAAGCGAGAGAGACAGTATTCAATACGTCATTTGCTACTAACTCAATGAAGTCAAAAAGATTTACCACAAGGAAGCAGGGGGTTCTAGTGGAAAGCGTCGTACGCTGGGTCGGTATTTCGATGAGTTTTTTTTGGTGCTCCAGATGTGCTACTTACGGCGACTGAAGCAACTTCGCCAGGAAACCTGGCACATATCGGACTCAGTGTAGAGACCACCGAAACCACCACCGCATGGTTTCCTCCTGATTTTATCTTCTGCTGATGGAGCATAGAGCGCATAGTATTTGCAAGAACGGTACGCACCCGATGTAGTGCAAATAATATCTCTGTTTTTGAAGCTATATATATATATATATATATATATATATATATATATATATATATATATATATATAGTTGAAGGCAACCACTTAAGAGACTGCTAACCGTTTCAGCGTGTTCTACTTCGAGTCATTTAGAGCATCACACGGTAGCGCATTCTTGACTTTTGTGGTCTAACTGGGGACCCAGGCAGCAAGAGTTCTCAAAAGCGTCACACGAGATCCCTGGTGACTGTTAATCACCTTTTCAGTAACCGAGCAGAACAGGGGGACACTCGCCCATCCCTTGAATGTGCTCTAAAACGACACTCAATTTTGCTTTTGAAAATCACGTTGGCTCGGCCTCTTGGATATGCTGAAGACTGTCGTTATAAATAAACTAGGAAAAAAGATCCTAGAAATTGAAGTAATCGTCCCCGGATTAACCCTCCAGCTGTACCACTGAGTGAGCCCTCAAGGTACACTTGGGAGACGTCAGCACTGACAGTTCCCCGAGTGTCTCTTAAGGGGATACTCAATTTTACTTCTTGTAAACCATGATCATTTTACCTCGTGAACATGAAAAAAGCTATTGTGAGATCTAAAATAACATAAATGTCTAAATATGAAGTAAGTTTCAGTTTATCGAGTATAATAATGCTTGTCCAAGATGGATACTTCTAGGCACCTTCCAAACTATATCGATTAGATATCGTACCCCTGACCTAACCTTTTAACGTGGAAACTCATAAACTTCTAGCCAAGTCATTACGTAGTATTTCATATTTTGTATACGACCCAGGCAGCACTTGTTTCCATCTGAGCATCACCCGAGAGTGCCTTAACCGTGCCATCGGGTGACCTAGAAAGGTACACTCAGGCGGCGATCGCTTATGAACCCGTAAACGGTGCTTGTCTCGTAATCCAGTTGCAAAATCACATAACGAAAGTAAATCATATTGCTATCTACTACTGCCGATATTTTTTCAGTAAATAGCCACTAATTGCTGCCGATATACTCGAGTTCTGTCCAGACGTCAACTCAATAAACTGGAACAATGTCGAACTGACATGCGCTAACACGGACTTTTCACGTTAAGCAGCAGTGAAAGTTACATTTATCATGCCACTGTGTAACCAGGATACGGTCAACCAATCCGGTTGTTCATTGAAATAGGAAACTTCGT